CCTTAGCTGCTATCATTATTATTGTTATTTCCATTTTATATGCTGCATGCTTTTTTTATATTACCCCAATTGTAAATGTAGAAAAATTTTCTGTGTGATTAATTTTATTTGTAATTTGAGGAAATTAGATGCAATACTGTGATTAATGCTGAAAATTCCATTCTGTATCACAAGTACTGTTTTTGGAATAAAGTATATTATTATTATTATTATTATTATTATTGAGGGAAATGGAGGAGTATTGAAGTATGCCTCGAACAGAAATTGAGAGGGATTCAAGCCAGGCGAATATCCAGTAGGTAAGAAGATAATCTTCTGATATGAAATCGACTTCTGAGTATTAGCTGTATTGATTAGAGTCAAATAACAGTCCAATTGGTAGGTAATATAGTTAAGTCTCATAGCTCAGTTAATAGACCGCTAGATTAGTAATTCAATGAATACTAGTATCAGTCCTGTCTCTATCCATATTTTACTTTATTTTCCATCTTCAATTACATCATTTATTGTACAGGTGAAAGATATATTATTTCATCTATTTCAAACATGTTAATTTCCCAGTCGCTAGCTAAAATATACTTGAATGCTCTCTAGGTGGTGGCGTTCCCCTGTGACAGCAGTATCCTGACTACCATCCACTGTTTTTTACCACTTTTTTTAGTTTCTTCCCCGGTAAGAGATAAAGCAGCATGTGAGTGGCTCACTGGTTCCAACCACGCACTTGAACCAGAATCTATTACCTGACTTCGCAGGTAGTACGTCTGGTAAAGTAGGAAAGTTGGCTAGGGAGGGAGGCAGGCTAAGAGAAGTGAGGCTAGCTGTTCCACACCGTAAAAAAAACAACCTTAATACCGTCTCTACTGAAATCTCAAGGCTCAAGCTTAAAACTCAACGTTACAACTGGAATGCAAAGGAGTGAAAAGAGGCGGGGGAGGGGGTGGATATAACTTGAAATTTTACAGTTTCATTTCTTGAACAACTAACTTCATCAGGAAGTGAATCTTGGAGAAGCCAAACCCCATCCCCTCAAACACAAATCCTTCATACTCTGATTATTCATAGACACTAAGTTGAAATCGAATGCTTTATGAATGTTGATGTCTAGTCACAACATGCACACACACACAGTAATTTGGATTGGACACTAGTCCTTTGTTTAGTATAGATTGTATTCTGTCAGCAAGTTTGCAGTACAGTCTCACAGGTCAGTCAGTGTTAACATCGCTGACTGTAGATGGCACTGGGGGATGCGAGTTCAAATCTCACAAGGGACATGAGTTGCTTCAAGATTGTAGTGAAAGCCGGCTAGCATGAAATCCAGGTCCAAGGCTTCCTAGCGTTTACCTTCATTACACAACACAGTAATTCATTACTCTGAAAAACTTCTTAATAGGACTAAATGTATTCATTGATAAACATAGATGATGTTTGCGGGGGTGGGGTGGGAGGCGGGAGGAATATTCAATTATTATTATTACTTTGGTTATGTTACCATAGTAATATTGATCAGTCAACTGCTTATCAATTGATTCGTTAATTAATTAATTAAGTCAATCTTCGGTTGATTATTATTATTATCAATCAATAATAGTAAATAAGCAACACAAATATTATAAGGATAAATTTATCAGGAAAGGTTGGAAGGCAGAGGGATAGAGGGAGAGGGATGGGTAACTGTTTACTATTCTACTTTGTAACTCTTAAATAAGTGTACACCTACACCTACGACCTATTCAGGTGTTAAACCCGATACCTTTAAAATTACACGAGGAGCCTACTTAACCGACTATCCGATCACTGGTGGAGTTTGGCGAAGGAGAGTCTCAAGAAACAGGCTGAAACAATATCTTTATACAGTAGTATCTAGTTTTCAAGAGGGTCCTTTAACCCATTTTATATCATTACGAAATTGAGCTTGAGATCACACTGAACGCTGATAGCTGATAGCTTGTACTAGGTTTGTATCCATTCAAACGAGCTAATAACAGTTAATAATATGAGTGAAGTCAGTGCTACTTGATATACGGATCAGAGACTTGCACTGTGCGTCATAAAGAGGATCTCAAACAAACTACAGACCTTCATTAACAGTTGTCTGCGCTCAATACTTCGCTCAAGATCAGATGGCCGGTCAGAAAAGATCAGCAACAGAGATCTCTGGCAATGAGCGAACCAACCAGGAACCGATTGTGAAACAAATAGGCAGGAAGAAATGGAGATGGATTGGCTGGCCATACTCTGAGGAAACAAATCATCAAGTGACATCACTAGACAAGCCATTGCTCGAGTGGAACCCTACCGGATGGGAAGCGGCGAGTTGGTCGTCAGTGCAAGGGTGACATGCAGGAGGAGGTGATGTGAAGAGGAGATGAAAACGTGTGGACAGACTTGGAGCCGGGTGAAGACTCTATCAGAGAACCGAATGCAATGGAGACGCACGGCTGAATCCCTATGTTCCTCTAGGAATTAAAGAAAACAATAATAATAATAACAGATAATAATAATTTCTAATGGTGAGACTATTTGGGATGGCCCTGGATTGACTGACTCCTCCACTCCCTCTCCCCCGCTCAACTGACATAATGAATGATTTTCAGCCATTGGTTTGCAAGATCTCAACTGGATGTAGTGGGCAGGCGTTTTGCACCCCCCCCCACAACCACCACTGTCTATAGCTCTTCAAGAGTACACATTTATGAACTAAAACCACTTGGTATCGAACCCGGGACCTTGAGGTTATCAGGTGAACCCCATTCAGTCATTCAGGCACTCTGAGGGAAGGGTCTAGTAGTCAGCGCATAAGTTCTAACTTCAATCTATTCTAAACCAGATAATTGAACCAGTAGTCTCCAAATGACTGGTCACATTACAAAGCCATACTGAATGTAGTGAGCTAGCAGGCTTATGAACTAATTAGTAGTAGGAGTTGGAGGACTCTAGGTTCGAATCCTATCGCAGTTTTGATTCTCATGTTAACTTCCTCTTCAAATGAATAACTGAAAAGAGTTGCTTACACTTTAACTTTACAGCTAACTCCACATCTGTAGAAATCCATAAAATTAAGCCATTTTAGTATAGTTATTACATATTTTATTATCTCATTGGTAAGTAAACATTAAATGACTATGAGGGTGTTTTGATTCGATCCCTTTGCAACCAAGTGAAACAGGGGGTGGGGGTGGGAGTGGGTTGCTAGTCTCACGCGAATCCCCATTGCCTCATTATCAGGCGCTTACTACCAGCTAGGCAAGGGCTTGAAGTGTATTGGCCGAGGACAAGGATCTCAGAAAATACCAAAGGAGGAGAATTGAACAAACTATTGTCTCCAAGTCTAGAACTCTTCAGCAACTGATGATTAATTCATTGGTTCGTATACTTGGAAAGCTCGAAAATCAGAAGACAAAAAAAGAAATAACTACCCATTCCTTTATAGTTTCAATATTTCTCTAAATGGTGTTGGTCCGTTTATGATATATGAAGGGAAAAAACATAATAAAGAATGAATTCTTTTAATTTTACTGAAATAATAAGAGTATTTAGAATTGAATTGGTGGATGGTGACTAGAAGTGGAATCCATTTCGTCCTAATTGGGACTCATCAGCTACCTGGATGTATCTGCATTCTCCAGTGAGTGATTATGTTCCCACCAAGGCTCGAACCCAGTGCCCACGTTTCTAACACCAAAGCGTTATCCACTAGACTACTTAGGAGTATCATCACTCACTGGGGAATTCACGTACATCCACTGATTGACGAGTCCCAAATAGGACGAAATCCGTGTTATCCTGGATTTCACTGCTAGTCATCATCCACAAATTAACTTCTAATTACCTGCCCAGACATCGTAGAGGCATCTGCAAAAGAAGCCGACATGTCAACCTGAGACCGAGTACTTCGGTCCAATCAATCGACGGGGAAAATCTACAATTCAATTAAACAAGAGTATTTTTCAAGAATCTGTTTGATCTATATATCAGTTAGAGAAGCACTGAAAACCAGGGAGTACTGGACACAGCTGTTTTCTCCTATTTCGGGACTCTTCAGCAAAACGTACCGAAGACCTCACTAGGGATCGGACCTGGAACCTTTAGGTTATCATACAGAACGCATCGACAATTCAGCCACTTAGGTAGGAATTCAATGCCCCTGTGAATTTAAGTTGCTGTCAAATCCCCACAGACGAATTTTTGACAGCTAATCTGATATGCACTAGTCGGCTGGTTACATATGGATGAAGTTGCTCAGAGTTCTAGTGAGAAGTCGTGAGCAATGAGGTCCATCAGACTGGGGGTGAGGAAAAATACCCATTGATGAGGTGGACTGGCGGTCACTCTAAAATAACTAATGTATACGAAATAGGAGGAGGAGGAGGAGGCATAGGTGTGTGTGTGCGTGTGCGTGTGTGGGTGTATGCGTATGTATGTGCGTCGATTATGCTTATGATAAGTAATTAAATTAAAGACTTGGCAAACAGGCCACTAAAGTATTTCCCGTAGACCATTACTGAGTTTCATTCACAACTAGCCGCCTTCTCCCCATACTCAATGATCAGGTGACCAGAAATGATGGGTAACACGGCGGGACTTTGACAACTAACCAACCAGCCAACTAAACAACCTATTACTCAACAAATATACAGCAGTAAGAAGTTGAGATGGATTAGACGCAGATTAGGAAAACACATTAAATTTGATGTGTCACACACAACACCAGATACCTGAGTGGAACTCGAATAGGAAGTGACAAGTTTGGCGTGTGTGTGTGTGTGTGTGTGTATCAAAGGTGACTCACATAGTAGAGAAGATCGATCATGTATGCGGAGGGGATGAGAGCTTTTAAACAGTCACAGAATGTAGATATCATCCTACTGAAGCCCCCCTCCCTCCCCCGCAATGTTCTCCATGAAACAAGACATATAAACAATAATAATAGTAACTATAGTAACGATACTAATAGTACTAGTACTGATGATAATAATAATAGTAATAGTAATACTTACTTTTCCTCTAATTCCATAATTCATACCAACTGAATCCAACAATTTGGAATGTCCACGTGAAGAATCAATAATATTTTCCATATGATCAATAATTTTATTTGACTGACACATCATTAAATTGTTGTTATTATATCTGTTATGGTGTTGTTGTTGCAGTTGTTGTTGATGTTGGTGCTGGTGTGGTGGTTGTAGTGGTGGTTGCTGCTGTTGTGTGTGGGGATGGTGGGGGTGTTGATGCTGATGGTGTTGCTGTTGAAGATGTTGATGTGTTGGTGACATTAATAATCGATTATTATTAGTAGTAGTAGTATTAACCGTATTCATATCATCATTCTGTATATGGAACATTTGATTTCTTCCATTATATTTGAGTAGATTTAAACAGTCGTTTTCCATAAGTTGTTGTTGCTGTTGTTGAAGGTGAGGATGAGACGATTGTGGATGTTTCATGCTGTTATTATTATTGTCTAATAGCATTTCTCGTTGTTGTTGTTGGTGTTGTTGGTGTTGTCTTTGTCGCTGTCTAATATCTTCACCGAGATCCTCTATATCATCATCATCCCCATCACCCTCTTCTCCTTCGTCTATCTCTTCTTCTTCTTCCTCTTCTCCCTCTTCCCCCTCCACCTCATCAACATTCCCGTCATCACAAACACCGTCCTCATCATCATTATCGTCATCCTCAGCGACTCCGTCTTCTTGAAAACCTTCTGTATTGTCAACTTCCCTTTCATTATATTCATTTCTTTGTCTAACTTGATTTATATAGGCGATTTCATTACATGACATCATTGCGTTATGATTACTATTACTACTACTGCTACCATTATTATTATTAGTATTATTATTAGTAGTACTAGTAATAGTATTCTCAAATTTGTGATTATTACAACTATCTATCATATCTTTTGTATTATCCATACTTTCAAAATCGATTTTTTGATCACGTATTTCATTTTCCAGCTTTGGCACTCTGGTATTCTTCCAACTGTTGACATCGTGGTCATCGACTTCATCGCCGTCACCTTCATCATTGTCATCAGCATAATCTCCCTCTGCTTTAATTTTTACATCATTCTGTGATTCAGCATGAAGCATCATCATTGAATGCTGGTGATGACGTGAGAATTGACTGTAGACAGAATGATGTTGTTGAGATAATGAAGATGCCGAAAGGTGTGGTGGTGGATTATCGATCTTTGGTGATATAGATCCATTATTATCATTATCATCATCATCGTTGGATGAATATCTTCGCTTCTTCTGTGTTAAACATACATTCCTGTTAGTCTGTAAACTCAGCATTTGTCTCCTGTCCTCTTCTTGTTCTTCTCTGCCTTGTTGAAATTCTTCCACAGTCATTGGAACCGCCATCCTCACTCCTTCCCCCTGCTCCCCCTCCTCGTCGCCGTCTTCGTCTTCTCCTTCGTCAGCTTCTGTTTCATCGACGTTACAAATAAAGTTTTTACGACTGTCATTATTATTACTATTGTTATTATTATTACTAATACTGTTGTTGAGATCATTCCCTTCCATATCTGTAGTCCTATCTGACGTATATCTGTTCATATGACTGTTTATAAAGTGATTTGATGATGAGTAAAGAAATGCATTACTTAGCATAGTATTATCAGTAATATTATGTACAGGTTCATTGTCTGATATATCCATTTGATTAGCATTTAAAAGACTACTACTTGTATTGTTGTGAGTAGTATTGTTATTAGTAGTATCATATGCATCATCCAATGACTTCATAAACCATGAATTACTCGTATTATTATTATTATTATTATTATTATTACTATTATTCCTCTTGTTACTATAATTAAATGGAATCATACTGTCTGTTGTAAATGCATCTGTAGTAGTCATGAATTGATTCAATGATATACGATTCATATGCTGACGAAATTCATCCACTGATGATGACGATAATGATGATGCCGCCGATGACTCTGAGGAAGTGACAGTCGACGCCGCCGCGGCTGCCGCTGCTGCTACAGCTGCAGCAGCAGCTACTGAACATGTACCATTCATAATTAGATTCAGAGTTTCATTATTCAATTTATCATTCATTTGATGTTGTTCAATTGTTTGACTGATTGAAGAAGTATTGAGCATTGAATGTGGATCAGTAATATTGATATTGTTTGCATTAGTTAGCAGTGTATCATGTGTAGCCATAATGATTTGTTTTACTGCTTTAAAATTTGATTTTTGGCGGGAAATTTAGTTCAATGATTTAATAATAACAATGATAATAATAATAATATTAAGGAGAAGAAGGACAAAAATATTCCACAGATTATTTTGAAGCAGCAGTACTAGTTGTAGTTGTGTTGTTCAAGATGACAGCATAATTATAATAATGATTAGCAGAGTCGTGAACAGTTTCATTACCAATGAGTTATTATTATCGTTGTTGTTGAGATCAGCTCTAACAGTTTCAGATTGTCTGTCACGCGATTGGTTAATTCTATTGTATTGGTAGCGTTAACCAATCAACGTTTTTTTTCAGTTAACTCGTATCACAATAATGAATTGTAAGGATAGGATAGAATAATAATAGCAGTACACACATACACAACGAGGGTATAAAAACAATGGATACACATATGTGCACATACAATCTTTTCTTGTAGGGATTATTGATAGGCAATATGTTAATCCACACGTGCGTTCGTATGCATATTCTCCCCCACATGTAAACACATTCATTCTATCTATCGAAGGCCTGTCAACCTATCATAATAGTGTATGCATGTGTGTTTGTATGTAGGTCGGTTTGTGTGTAGAGATTACCTGAAATCTGATTGGTTAATTTAGATAGAGCTGTAAACATGTACACATTGCATGACAGGGAGAATTCATCAGTAGAAAAATCGAGACAATTCGTTCGAAAGTTAGCGAAAGAAAGAACATCTTCGATTTCTCTTCTCCATTTTTATGCATAATGATCTCACGATCATATAACCGTCACGGTTACTACTGGCCTTTGTTACTATCGTTGTATCATCAATATATCTGACTGATGAAACACTTTAGAAGGCATACAGACAAACAAACCAGCAAACAAAAGGGATGAAAGTAAGGCAAGTTAGGCAGGGGTAAAGGGAAAGAAAAAACAACCACAAAAAGAATTGTGATCATTTCCCTAGAAATTCAGAAATCCCCCATTCAAGCAATCAGTGTCTATGTGTGAGTCTCGTGTTTGTATGTGAGTGTGTGTGCGTGTGTGTCTGTGCATCACTATTATGTAGACAATCGAAACAGGAAAGGGAAGTAGTATACAGCGCAATGAATAAGACGATTGACACTGATCTGTATTGAAAGTGAATTAACAATAGACAACACTATGATGTAATCGAATAGACGAAGACAATACAATCATACAATCATTTCGGTTCTGATATGTATCAACATTTGTGTCTGCATACGCGAGTGTATGCGTGCGTGCATGCGTGCATGTGTGTGTATGTGTGTGTGTGTGTCAGACAACGAAAGAGAATGAATCAAGTATATTCTTATGTTAGATAGATAGTTAATGTACTTCAATTCATATTGAACGGGAAATGAGTATTGAAATCATTTTTAAAAATCAATCGATCACATCCCTACAAACTCACTCTTGAAAGTTTATCATTAATGACTGATTGAGGTTCACCAAGTTGAGTGTGTGGACATCAGTTGTCACTCGTGAACTGGTAGGCGTTAGAATCAGCGAACCGTTGGCTACTGTCTGTCTCTCCCAGTGACTGAATACTGAACAGGTGTTTGTCTCGTAACCTAAAAGTCTTAGGTTCGACCTCCAGTGGAGTTATGGGTAAGTATCCCGAAAACTGGTTTGCTGTCAGGTTTGCAATGTGGCCACCATGCCACTACTAGATGACTCGCCATCACGGTGCACATTGATTTGATGATGATATTAGATAGTTGGAGGCAATCGGTCATAGGAAGCCTTGACAGGACCTAGGTTTCGTGCTAGTTGGCACTCACCAGTCAGCAAGGTGGCATATCTGCAAACTTGGAGGAACTCATGTCCCTTCTGAGATTCGAACCCGCGTGTCAACGAATGCTGCAGTCAGAGACGTTACCACTGAGCTATTTGGGCTCACCAACAAGAAACTATGGGAACAAACAAAACAAGAACCAATCGCTCAACAAATGTGCAGATGCATTGGACACTCGGTGAGCTGAGGAGGCCGCTGGGTGACATCGCGCGTCAGACCATAGCTCGAGTGGAACCCGAAAGGGAAGTGGCGAGTGGGACGTCAGTGCAAGGGTGACATGGAGGAGATCGTGTGGAGAGGAGCTGAAACAGTATGGATTAACATGGATGCAGGTGAAAAGTACAGCAGAAGACAGAAGCAAGTGGAGACGTGTAGTTGAAACCCTATGTTCCACTAGGAATTCAACGGAACAATAATAATAATAATCTCGAAAACTAGGAAGAATCAACTGTGTCCAGTACTCCCTGGTTTCTTAGTGGTTAGGGATAGTAGGTTGATAAAATGGCGTTGAGTCTATCCTGAACAACCTTCCGATTGTCAGTTTGTTATTGATAATGACTGGAGATGGAATGGAATTCTGCATCAAAGAAGGAGGAGGATTCCAGCAATTCGTTACCCAACTAATAATATAAGCCAGATTTATGCTTCACTCCTTCCTTGTCACTGTACAGAAACTGTGTCTGGACATATAAGTTGGACGTATCTGCAACCTTATAGCAAGGGAAGGGACTTCCCTTCAGAGAATGGAGCGTGTATCACTCAAAAATGTTATAATTAAAAAAAATTCCAAATGACACTCGCCTCCTCTGGGACTGTAACGGAGACAATGACTGATCATTAGAAAGGAAAGATGGCGGCCATCTTGTTTAGTTTTTGGTATTCGCATGACGATAAACACCACCCCCGACTACCTCCAACCACTGAGACTGACAGTCTTCTAGACTGGTGATTCTACAATACAGAACTAACTGCTAGAGTTCAGTTGACACTGAGCACCAACACTAAAACGACCTAGACATATAATGTTGATTACCCCACTTTCCGACCTCCCCGCACCCCTCGACGGAATCTTTTTAACAAAATGTGTAATTTAAGGCAGAATACTGATATTGGAATGTATAATCAATGCGAGAATCTGATTGGTCACTAGATAGTAAGTAACCAGTGTCAGGCATCTATTCCTTGGATTGGTGTCGACTGAATTCTGTCATTCTTAGGTTTGCAGTATGGCCCGCCATGTTTGGCGACTCACCACCAAGGGGTGCACACTAGTATAAAATCAAAGCATCTGTTACATTCTTACAGAAGGTGAGTCATGAGGCCAAATAACTTATTGGTGACGTCTATGACCACAGGACTTGATGAAGTGGACTGGAATTTCAAAGGGAGGTAGGGATCGGGTTCTTTTAAGATTGCTGGCACATCTTACTGATGAGTGACAGCAAGCGCGAAACTAAGGTCACCCAACGCTTCCTGCCGATTTCCTCCAATCGTCTATAATCTATCTAGCATTGTTGTTGACATGAGGAAGGAAAGTGACACTGTAAGATGAAATGTACTACTGACTAATAAAATAAGTAGCTTGAAACCATTCATGTTAGACAGTATTGCTTGCTTTGTTGGACCGAAGGTACCGAAGTATTACCAACTGTTCACTTAAGTGGGTATTAGCATTCTGTGAGTTATAGTCGGTCGGTATATACTCACTGACCAAGTGGTGTATTTAACCCCCCTCCAGCCCAATGATCTGACCGACGGGCAAGCACTACTGATGGCTGCCATGACTGATTTCTGATTACTCCTATCACTAGAGCAGTAGTATACACTAACTTATAAAAGTATTTCGTACTTCTTAGAACTCATCAGGAGCAGGTAGGTGTCATTTTAAATAGGGATTGAAGTCAAATAAAATGTTTAATGTCATCAAAAGGCTGTTCAGTATGTATAAAGGAATTCCACTTATCAAAAATCTTTATTCCTCATTGAGGTTCATCTGGTTGCGTGTGAGGACAAATACCTACCAGCGATGACGTTGGCTAGTGGTCGTGTTATATTTGAAATTGGCAGAATTTGGAATCCATGTGCCAGTGGATTACTATCCAAGTGGCTGAATGGTCTACGAGCTCGCCTTGCAATCTGAAGGTCTTGGGTTCGACCCCAGTTGATGCATATCTGTGAAGAGTCCCAAATTAGGCTGACGAAACAGCTGGCTGTTCAGTACTCCCAGCTGGTTTTCCAATGGTTCTCTAACTGATGTCAGCTCTTGATGAAATCCTCGATCCAAAAATAATCGAGTTAAAAAAATCACTCGAATAATCAGATCAGTGGATTGTAGAAACCTGTCTAACCTGAAACAGTAGACCCACCATCATCAAGAAAAAAGATTTATAAGTTATGGACACATCAATCAATATTCAAATTTAGTCACCTATTATTGAATTCAAATTTAAAATATGAATAAAGTAGATGTATAAATTAGAGGTCCTGGGTTCGAGCCCTCATGGGTGTGTATAGCCAGAGTGTCCCAAACTAGACTAGTGAAACAGCTATCCAGTACTGCCTTGTGGTTTTCAATGGTTTTCTAACTGATATCAGGCTGTCATCACATTTGAAGCAAATAATCTGATTCTCACTAGTGACTGACCGACTGAGCTCTAGTGAAAACGTCGTGACTAGTGGAGGGTTGACCAGGTCGACTGTGAAGACAAACACTCACCGGTGATGATATTGGCAGACAGTTGGACTAAAATCAATAACTGA